TGAAATTGTTTACCAATCACTTCATAATGGTGGAGAAGATCGTGCCGTGGCTCTTGATATCTCGAAAGCGTTTGATAGGGCCGGCCTTTTTCGCAAGCTTCAGGGTTATGGAATTACAGGTCGTTTGTTTGACTTTATACAATCTTTCCTGTCGAACAGTACACCGAAGGTCGTTCTCAACGGATTCTCCTCCAGCTCCTATCCCACGAACGCAGGTGTTCCTCAAGACTCAAACCTAGGCCCTACTCTGTTCCTTATCTTCAATAACGATCTTCCTGGTGTCATAGGTTCCGAAGTAGGAATCTATGCGGACGACACTACTATTTACTCCTCTCTCAAAACTAACCTGGCCGTTTTTCTTGAAAAAGACCTCCAACCGGTTGTGGACTGGAGCAGAAATTGGTTGGTTAACTTTAACGCCTCAAAACAAAACTGCTCTCTATTAATCACCACTGAGAACCATCCCTGCCTCCCATTAGAATGTCTGACGCTCAACTCCACGAGAGCACCTCTTAGCGACTGCTCGGTCTTACATTGTCCGCTGACCTGAGATGGAACGAATACATTGAGTCAATAGCTTCGTCAACCGCTAGGAAAGTTGGCTCCTTGTGCCGCGCCATGAAATTTTTCTCGTCGGAGTCGATCCTTCAAATCTACAGATCAACCATTCGACCTTGCATGGAGTATTGCTGCCATATATAGTCTGGAGCCTCTTCTAATTGTCTCAAGGACCTTGATAAAATCTAAAAACGGATATGCAATGTAATTGGCCCTGATCTGGCATCTCGTCTGCAGCCGCTCTCTCACAGGCGTGCCGTTTCCTCCCTCTGTCTTTTTTAGAAATACTTTCATGGTAACTGCTCCGATGAGCTGCTTTCGCTGGTTCCCAGACTTCATGAATTTAAGCGTTCAAATAGGTTGGCATCTCCCTCTCCCTATTTCAATGTCGAAATCGTTAAATGTAGCCGTCTCTTCTACTCCAATAGCTTCATGTCTCGCACTTCTCGCCTGTGGAACTCCCTCCCCATTTCTTGTTTTCTTGATATTTATAATCTCCAACTATTCAAATGTAACGTCAATCGACGTTTCCAGATGTCCTTATCTATCCCCTAACCTTCTCTTCATCCTTTCCTCTATCATTCGCCTCTGTTCTCGCTTCAACTCTGTCGCCCCCTTTGCGTGCTAATATATATATATCGCCTTGCTTGAGTTATAATTCTTATATATATATATATATATATATATAATAATAATAATACACAAATAAGAATATTTAATGACCAGAGATGAATTAGACCAGTAAACAGTACCATTAAAAAGTGCTCAATACACGTATAAAGAAAATAAAAAATTAACATATAGAGGTTTTTAGCATAAACAATTAGGAGATCAGGGATTTTCGGCTAACTGACTGAAATCGCTTGAAGATAACGGAAGGTTGAAACGAAGGTAACGGAAAAGGCTGACCATTTATTTGCTTTTTATATATATATATATATATATATATATATATATATATATAAATATAAATAAAAAGAACAGTAAGATATAAAATCCGGTGTTCTTATAGATATTTTTTTTTTTACAAAATAGTGCTCAATGTAAATTTACAGAGCATTAATATTATAATTAATTGATTTAAAAAATAGTTTTTTCTTTACAGTTCAACCATGTTTCAAAAATAAATAAAAACCCCGAATTTAATTTTGCAATTAAATTAAAAGCATTAGTTCCATTTCATCTCCAAAATTCGCTTGAAGAGAAAAATGGAACTAATGCTTTTAATTTAATTGCAAAATTAAATTCGGGGTCTTTAGCTTCTATTTTTGAAACATGGTTGGAACTGTGTAGCGAAAAAAACCATATTTTAAATCAATTAATTTATAATATATATATATATATGTGTGTGTGTTTGGGTGTGTGTCTGTTTCATTTTCATAAATATCTCAGTTTATCTATCTATCTATCTGGCTATCTATCTATATAAATATACAAGGTGTCCATAAAGTTCGTGTGCACTTTAAAAAATTGTAACTTTATTTGTATTTGCGAAAATATAAAAATAATTTGCAAAAAGGATTAGAAAAAAGTAAATCTATATTTTTAAGGTTTTATTGAAATTTTATTTCAGTTTCCACATGTCCTCCATCATTAGCAATACAAAGGGTAATACGAAGGAAAAAAGAAAATATTTTTTTACTTCTCTAAAAATTGTTGCAAATTTTGTGGTAAAGAATTATTCAATAACTATATCTAAACGAGGTACATAGAACTTTATAACATTTTTTTACAGATTATTTTCTATCGCAAAAACAAATAAAGTTATAATTTTTTGAATTTTTTTTATGGACACCCTGTATATATAATATATATAATAATAATAATAATAATAATAATAATAATATATATATATATATATATATATATATATATATATATATATATAAATCTTATGCCAAAGATCCTTAATGTTGTAGTCCTTAAAATAAATTGCTACAAGCTAAGATAGTCATATTATTTACATACAAGCAACGATATTTCCATTTCCATTATGGATAAAGGCGCATTTATTTTACTACTGCTTATATCCGAACAACTTTTATGCTTTGAAAATGTTAGAAAAATGATTGTTTTAATTGTTTTATTATTTTGCCATTTTAAAGCGACTGATGCTGTGCGCATGCTCCATTTAACCGAGGAGATGATTTTCAACGAAGTGCCTTAATGTGAATGAAGAGGCGTGAAAGAAAAAGGAAGGAAGAGCATAAGACGGTGGGGGTAAAGGAAAGAAAATTTACAACGGCAATTTTGCTGTTAGTAAGAATGAAAATTTAACCTTAACAAAATGTCCAGTCTGTAGAGGGTGTCTTTTGGCATCTGGTTTTTTGCTTTTTTTTTTTTTTTTTTTTCGTTCACAACAAATGGCGGGAAAAACAATGTTATCAAAATCGATATATTTTTTTCCTGTTTTTGAATTTGTCTGTTCACATAACTTTCCTTTATCAGCTTCTCATCAGTGTGCATTCTTTTTTTTTTCTTATTTACTTCCTGTTTCATCTGTCCTCCATGCTTTTTACTCGATTCTATTCGTTTTTTTCGCTTTTTTGTTCTTAATGCTTGCCATCTTTTTTCTTTCGTTCTTTTTTTTTTTTTTTCCATTAATTTCCTTTTCTCATTATCTTTTTCCCGTCTTTCTTCTTTCGTTTACTTTTTTCATATTTTCTTCTTCTTTTTGCTTCTTTTTTTCTTTTTCTTCTTCCTTTTTCTTCCTTCTTTTTTGCTTCTTGCTCGACTTCGTATTGTAGTTCTTGTTCTTGTTCCTTTTCATTTTCCTCTTCATATTCCACTTGTTCGTGTGGTTTACTGCCGAATCAGGTTGAGAGACCAACTCTCCTTAATAAGATCACCAAAGTTAAGCAACGTCGAGCCTGGTATATGTCAAGGTGGGCAACCGCTTGTGAATTCTAGTTGCTGTAAGCTTTGATGCGCTGCTAGTGTAATAATTAACGGTTCGGACATAGAAATCGCAGAGCCGTGTTCCAATTCCAGTTGGGTTCGTTATATTTAATTACTCGCAAATATCCTTGGGAAAGATATAAATCCACAACTACTCCCCTAGGTATGTCTTATTTAGTAATATTTGTATGAGTAGATTATAATTATCTTGAAAAAAATCCTATAATCTAAAAATCTTTTCTGGTTATTAAAATCCGAAAAAAGTTGATAAACCGTAAAAAATACCAAACAAATGAAATTCGTTGTCTGATTTTCTGGGTTGAAGAGTTATCATTAGCATTATTTACACGATTTATATGCGGACCATAGTCCTCATTTTTGTTGCCTTTATCACAACGTTTCGGGCGTTGTGTCCTCCGGCCTTCTTCAGGTTATCATTACTAATATTTACACGATGTGTATGCGGACTATTGTCCTCATTTTTGTTGTCTTTATGACAACGTTTCGGCCGCTGTGTCCCCCGGGCTTCTTCATGTTATCATTAGCATTATTTACACAATTTATATGGGGACCATTGTCCTCATTTTTGTTGTCCTTATCACAACGTTTTGGCCGTCGTATCCTCCGGCCTTCTTCAGGTTACCATTAGCATTATTTACACGATTTATATGCGGATTATTGTCCTCCTTTTTATTGTCTTTATCACAACTTTTCGGCCGTTCTGTCCTCCAGCCTTCTTCAGGTTGTCATTAGCATTATTTAGACGATTTTTATAATTGGATAATTCTCCTCATTTTTGTCTTTATTACAACGTTTCGGCCGTTGTTTCCTCCGGGCTTTTTCAGGTTACCATTGGCATTATTTACACGATTTATATTCGATTTATATAAGGTCATAAAGCCACTAAGATACAGGGGGTTACTGCGTGTGAAATCGTATAGTAAAAAAGAAACATTAAAGGAGTGTGAACCAGAAGAGCGATCAAGAAGACAGTAGATAACGATTGAGATTGCATTTAAATTTTTCCAAATCAAAGTTGGCTGGAAAATATAGGACCAGAAGATAGTTCCTCAAGTGTGAAGTGCGAGAAAGTAAACTGTTAGCATAGAACTTACGGTAAGCCACATCAACTGTGAATTGAGGATAATTTGCCGCTAATCTCGTAATGCTCTTAGTGAAAAATTCATATGAAGCATTTACAATGAAAGGACAATGGGAAGCGAGATTACGTCGGTGGGAAAAGTGATCGAAGCCGAGATGCCAGGTGACGGCCTTTCAATTGTCTTTTATTTTTATTTTCTTCGTTTCATTCACTTTTCAGCCTTTTCCTTTTTTTCTTCCACTCTCTGTTGGCCTTTAACCTTTTTTTTTTTTCTTCGTCTTCAATTCTCTTTTGTTCTCTCTTTTTTTTTTAATTTCTTTTTTTCTTTCTCTTTTAATTATTTTAGGTTTATTTTATTTGCATTTTAAGCAATTTTTTTCTTTGTGTTTCATTTATTTATCCCTTCCTCCTATTTTCTTTTGGTTTTCTTGTTCTCTTTGGCTTACGGTCATATCATGTTGAAACGCCGATCAGCGTACGATCGCCAAAGTTAAGCAACGTCAAGCTTGGTCAGTACCTAGATGGGTGTTCGCTTGGGAATACCAGGTGCTGTAAGCCTCGATCTGCAGTAGAAACACAACTCCGTTGCCTCGAGTCTCTTCTTCATTTTTGAGAAGACCGTCCAACATTCTTTGACGTAAAGGAGGACAGATGTCTCGTAACAGCTCAGTACTCTTTTCTTTGTTACCAAAGAAATCCTCCTGTCTTGCAATATTCTGCCCAACTTTTGGAATGCGTCTTTGGCTATCCCAAAACGTCTACAGATCTCAGTGTCGCACTTATCGTCCTCTGTCAAAACGTTTCCCGGATATTTAAACTTCCGCGACTGCTTGATTCTAGTGTCCCCGATCTGCTGATCGCATTTCGGGCTCACCATTTTACTGATGACCATGCCATTCTGTCTTCTTGTAGTTTATGCTTAGTCCCTTCTTCACACTCTCAGTCGCTAGGTAGGAGGTTTTTTTAATTTCTCTTCCATGTCTGCTATCGGTACTGTGTTATCTGCGTATCTTATGTTGTCATGATTGCTTATTATCGCTTCGGACAATATCTGTGTACTGTCACAGAAACCGAGCAGAAAATGGAATCTGTATAAGAAATATCAAGTGTCCTTAAAAAGGCATGAATCCATCTTTCCTGAAGTATGGGTTAAATCACAGGGCAGACTGTGGTCTTTTACCTTAGTTGACAGCCAGTTTAGGAGGAAAAAAAAAAAACTCTGAATTCGAAACCAGCTCAGAGAAATATACTGTTTTTATTCTTTCTATTCTTGATGGTTGCCTTGTCTTTTTTTTTTTTCATTCCGTTTTCCCTGGGGTTTCTTTAGTCTTTTATCTATTTTCAAGGCTTGTTTGTCTTTTATTAGTATTTATTTTTTTAATATTAAGTATTTTCTTGTTTTTCTTCTATTCTTTCTTCTCGATTTCCCTTTTTATTTTTTATTTGTTTTCTCTTTATTAATTTCAGAATTAATTTTTCATTTCCTTTGTAATTCCTTTATTCTTAGAATTCCAGATTTTTTTTAAATATCAGTTTTATGTATCTGGCTATATTCCTTTTCTATTTCTTATTCTTTACTTTAGCTTCCTCTCTACTTTTACTTTCAGTTTCAGTTTCACCCTCTTTTATACTTTATTCTTCACTTTCTATTTTCTTATATTTTATTAGGGTGCAGAATGAATTTCAACTTCACCTTCGTCTTCTTCTTCTTCATCTCCACATTTCCTTTTTCTTTTTTAGTCTTCTTCTTGTGTTCATTTCTATTTTTGTTGTTGTTGTTGTTATTCTTCACACTTTTCCTTCCTTCACACCTTCTTCTCTCCACTTTTCTTCTGCGTCAAACTTTTTCTTCTTCTCTTTTTCACACTTCTTCGTCTTCTTCTTCTTCTTCACACTTTTCCTTTTTATTTTTTATTCTTGTTCTTGTGTGCATTTTCTCCTTTTGTTCTTCTTCTTCTTCACGTTTCTTCTACAGACTTTTTTCTTTTTCTTTTTTATTCATGCTCTTGTGTTCATTCTTTCCTTTTGTTAATCTTCTTCACATTTTTTCCTTCTTTTTCTGTTTATTTATTCATGTTCTTGTGTCCATTTTCTCGTTCTGTTTTTCTTCTTCACGTTTCTTCTTCATACTTTTTCTTCACACCATCTTTTATCCACTTTTCTTCTTCTTTTTTCTTCTTTTGCTTCAAATTTGTGTGACGTCGTCCCCCGGTCGCAGCGCCGACTGTGACGTTCTATCCTGATCTACCACGGCGCCAGTTGTGACGTCCCTAAACGGCACCAATTGTGACGTCTTCGCCGCGGCGTCAGCTGTTCGCTCCTCGCTGCTCCGTCCGGGTGTCGCTGCTCCAAACGTGACGTTCTAACCCTTTGGTGATTCGGGTAGGAATCTGGTTAGATTGATACCAACCTGCTTCCAACGCCTGGTTACCAGGGTAACTGCACTGATCTCCAGTCTGCCTACCCACATTGTGAATTGATCTTAGACAGACGAGATCAAACAGGGGTTGGGGCCGTAATGCAAGCTGAGTTCAACGGGGGTGATAACACACAAATATGTATAAAAGAAAATAAAATGAAAACTCACAAAGTTCAAAGTATCAAAGAAAAAGGTAACAAACTTTTTATGTCTATTTGTTCGGTACATAGGACTATGTCTACTTCCCGACCCGTTCTGTGGATTGTGGCACGACGCTTTCGCTAGGCTAATTCTAGCGCTTCAAGTTGTCTACTCTCTAAGAAATTTGTGTTTCGGTGTGTCTTTGGACGAAAGTCGAAAAACTTATTTCTGTGGTCTGGTCCTAAGTCGCTCTTCAAACTACTTGTTCTTGATTGAAGAAGAGTCCAAAAGTGTGCGTGGATCTTGGTCAGCTATCTTGATGTGGTTTCAACACTGGGCACTCATCTCTGCCTGCCGTCCGGGGCTCAACTTCTTCTCTCCAGGGTCTGAATTACTGGGCACTCATCTCTGCCGCCAGTGTGCGAACTAACTTCTTCTCGCCAGCTTGGGTCGAACGAACTTCTTCTCGCAGGGCCAAACGAACTGGCCTCTTCTGCCCGCTAGGGGCGAAGGAACTCTGCCCGCCGTCCGCGGCTCAACTCCGCCTGCCGTCCGCGACTGCACTGATTTCTCTCTGGTGGGGCTTCGTTTTTATTGACGCCGTCAAAACTGGGGTGGGTCTGTTTGGCGTCGGGGGTTCTTCGATAATTCTAAATACGTATCTACCTTTCTTATTTCTGGTTAGGGATTTTCCACTCTTTTCCATTTTTGGTAACTCTTTTCTCACTCCCACTCTCTTACTGTGCTTCTGAGGGGCGTGCACTAACTTCCCACTACTTCGTATCGGTTTCTCACACTTACACTCTGATAGAGGCGTCGACTGATTTTCTTCGTGCGTCACGTGACCGCTCTCGGCCAATGAGGTCCTGGTCGGGTATCTTTCCTCCTCCTTCGTGCGTCATGTGATCCACTTGGCCAATGACGTCTTAGTCGGGCGTGAACAACCCGTGGCTTTGTTTTGGGAAAGAAATACCTTGCTTAACTAAAAAAAAAAAATTAATTAAATCGCCCTTATCATGAGCGGCCGAGGTGACACTCTTGGTTTTAACACATGCCGTTTGTCAAGCAGTTTATCGCTAATTGGACATGATCTAAGAAAGAAATCTTCCTAGCCTACCTGGCGTCTCTAAAGCAAAAATAAAGACATTTCATTTTCCTTTCGGCCCATGTGTTGACAACAAAAAATCTTTATTATCACAGGGCAAGCGTTTATTCTGTCAAAAGAGAAAAAAAAAACTTAGCCAGCGAAAACTACTTGTGTGGGAATTTTTTGTTTTTCAATTCTTTACACCCAGGGAAGACCGTCTGTGTTTCGACAATGTTCAACAATGGATTTCTTCTTTTTGGTGACATCCAATGATAACAAAATTCCATTTTTCGTGGACAAGCGGAAATCGGTCAACGCTTGTTCGTAGGTGACCTAGATATTTTCGACATCTGATATCTATCAACAATAACCTTCTTCCTCCTCATTTCCGTCTCTTAAGCCGTGTGTGTGTGTGTTCGCCTATGACCCGTATGGTATTACTTTTTCTCTCTTTCTTCTTCGTTTTCTCTTTCTTTCTCCCAAATCGCTTGAATGCAAAGAAAGAATTATTCTTAAAACCTAAAATATTTTTCGGCCTTAAATAATTATCAAATGGTTGATAAACCGTAAAAAAGCAAATCATATATCTATAAATATTTCTTTCAAATCGTCCGGATGCATGGTGCCACATTTGTTCTTCTCTTTTTCACACTCCTTCTTCGTTTTCTTCTTCATATTTTTTCCTTCTTTTTCTTTTTTTATTCATGTTCTTGTGTCTATTTTCTCGTTTTGTTTTGCTTCTTCACGTTTCATCTTCATACTTTTTCTTCACACCATCTTTTCTCCACTTTTCTACTTGTTTTTTCTTCTTTTGCTTCAAATTTGTTCTTCTCTTTTTCACATTCCTTGTTCGTTTTCTTCTTCACATTTTCCTTCTTTTTCTTTTTTATTCTTGTTCTAGTATCCATTTTCTCCTTTTTTCATCTTCTTGTTGTTATTCTTGTTATTCTTCACGTTTCTTATGCAAACTTCTTTCTCTTCACTTTTTTGTTCTTTTTCTTCTTCACCTCGCTTTTTTTTCTGTCCTTTTTGTTCGAATACATTTGTAGTCTCTTTCATTTCCTTCTCTTACCTCCCTTTATTTTATAATTCCTCCTCCCTTCTATATTTTCGCCCTCTTCTATTTCATTTGCCTTCCCCCTCTTTATATATATTCCATTTTCTCATTGATCTTTTTCTCCCTACTACTTCTCAATCTCTTTTTTTCAATTCCTTCGTTTACTTTATATGCTTTCTTCTCTTTTATCTTCTTTTTATTTTTCATTTACCCCTCTCATCTTTTTCTTCTTTCTTTTTTCCATCATCACGTTTTTCATTATCGTCATTCAATGCATTTCACCTCAATTTTCCGTCTCGTTTTCCGTTTTTCTATTAACGTGCTATCTCGCATAATCTCGTTTTCTTTATTTTCCTATTCAAACCACCCATTAGATATAACCTTTGTTGTCTTTGTTTTATTGATTCCATTACAATTTAAAAATCAGTATGACTACCTTTTACAGCCACATTTTATATTAGGTGTGCAAATTAAATTTTTATTAGCTTCCTTTCGTTATAAAATATAGATAACAGATTATTTTTTTTCCGAAGGGACATTTTTAAACCTGACACACTAAAAGTTCTTGGAAAGAAAACAAATTTAACGGCTCTGAGAATTAAAAAAAAAAACAAATAAAAAATACAAATACGGAAAGAATGAAATATATATTTTTTAAAGTCAACCAAAACATGGAAAGAAAAACAGTGAATTTGTGAACAATCTTTTAGGTAAATACGAAGTATCTTAAAGAAAAATATTTTCTGGTTTATACGATATTTGATATTTATGCTTCATATGAAAAGATTTCTAAGAATCTGAACTGCAAAATACACGCACACACACACGCATATATATATATATATATATATAT